TTGAATCCCTGCCTCTCCCCCACTGTGACATTTGGAGATCGGGTCATTGAGAGGTAATTGGGTTTAGATGAGGTCATGAGGGTGGGGCCTTTAGGATGGGACTAGGGTCCTCATAAGAAGAGAAGAGAGAGGGGCACCTGGGTGGCTCGGTTAAGCGTCTGCCTTCAGCTCAGATCATGATTCCAGGGTCCTGGGATCAAGCCCCACGTTGGGCTCCCTGCTCAGTGGGGAGCCTGCTTCTTCCTCTCCCCCCACCCCGTTCATGCTCTCTCTATCTTTCTCTCCCTCAAATAAATAAATAAAATCTTTTTTAAAAAAGTAACAAAAGAAGAGAAGAGAGAGTTCTGGTCTCTCTCTCTGCCATGTGTGGACACAGCAAGAAAGCAGCCATCTACCAGCCAGAAAGAGAGCCTTCCCTAAGAACTAAATCGGCCAGCACCTTGATCTTGGACTTCCCAGCCTCTGGAACTGTGAGAAATAAATTTCCATTGTGTGAGCCTGCAGTGTGTGGTGTTCTGTTAGGGCGGCCCGAGCTGACTCAGACGGGGACCCAGGGCCTCTCTCTTCTCCAATGGAGATTAATGAACCACTTCTAACCGTTCGACTCCTTCCCCTTCTCCATCTTCAAAACAGAACAAAATGAAGAAAAAAGAATGCCATTAATTATTTACTGGAAGACGTGTTTCAAGGCAATTAGTTGTCTGAGTTCCCTTCAGGTAGAGCAGGGATGGTTCTCGTGAGTCCCTGCTAGGGGATGGTGGGGGGGAACTCTTGCCCAGCCCTTGTGCTTGACAGCCCTGAGAGCAGCCTGGAATGGGATTCTGGAAAGGGTGGGGTTAGGAGGGAGGCACGGGTGTGGGACACACTCAGGCCCTGAAACCCCATCGTTTAAAGGCCATGTCCACCCTGACTCTCCTCTGGCCACTCAGTCATTTTCCTTCTAGGCTGAGTGCTTTTCCCCTCTTCCTGGTGCTCACTCTTTTCTGCAAAATAACCATAGGGGTGGACTTCTTGGCTGAGGGTGGCACCCAGTGCAACTTGGGAAGTGGGGATCAGGGGGTGAGGGAGTAGGGAGGAGGTGTGGGTAAGGAGCAGACACAGTGCCTCTCCCTGTCCCTGTCCGGTGTCACTGGGGCCTGCCTGGTCCCCGGGGGGAGAGGATGTGCCTGACCCTGTGATTGAATACTTTGTTCTCATTGCTGTTACATTTGAGATGGAAAATAGAAAAAAATATATACAATAATCATATTAAGAAGTTGACTCTGCCCTGCCTGCCCTTCAGTTGGTGTGTGTGAGATGGGGCAGAGGATGGGTTTGATGCCGAGGGGTAGTGGGGTGAGGCGGGTCTTGGGCTTCTGTGATGTCGAACAGCTCCATCTGACCTTCCTGGGCTCTGTCTCTACCCTTTGTTGGTGCATGGTGGGATGCGCCTCCCACCCAGAGCTCCCTGGCCAAGTTCTGTAGCAATGCTCTCTCCTTGACTCTACGTGCAGAATGAGAGGCTAAGAAAGTGGTCCCACTTGGGGTCCAATGAAGGTTTTCTTAAAAGGAAGGTAACGTTTTAAACACCCGTCATCAACCGGAAGGGGGATGGGAAAAGTGTGAAGCGACGCAGGTCTTTCCCTCTGTTTTGAAGTGAATCATGTTACTCTCTGCTGCTGTGCCCCCCCCCCCCCCCCCGTTTACAGAGTGAAATGTATGGGGGAGAGAGCCTTTTGAAAATAAAGCGCCTTCTACCAGTGCTGGCTCTGGGGGTGGAGGGAGGTGGGATACACATGAGGGACAAGCCCCAGATCCTGTCCCGAGTTCTCCAGGAGAGCTGAACACACAGAATCAAATTGCAAGAGGCAGGACTGCAAGGACAAGGCAGAGCGGAGCCTGGGAAAGCCGCGCAGCCCCCTCCTGATGGGGCACCCACTATAACTGCACAGTCTGCAACCTCTCATTACTCTGCTGGTGGCAAGAATGAGGTCATGGTGTCTGCAAGTGACTTTCCCAGTAACGAGCCCCTCTCAAAGGGCCAGGCTCCCTCCTCAGCCTCCTCCTGGGCCGGTAAAACTCGGGCAAGAAGCAAAATCAGATGGTTCTCTTCCTGGGGGTGTGCGTCCAGGCTGAGGCCAGACAGGATCCTCTTCTCCATCCCAGATGGCTGGAGATAGAGATTGCTAGACGAGCTGCAGGTAGGGTACCGTGCTCTCTGCTCTCTACCGTGCAGACATGCCTGGAGACCCAACCCCGGAGGAAACCTCCCTGACTTCCGCCCCCAGTTGGTGCCCTGCCCTGGCCTTTGGGGATTCAACTCCCAGAAGAAGGTACACAGGGCTACACATGGTTGTGCAACCATGTGCCTCTTCTCACAGAGCAAATGCCATCCAGAGCCCCAGAAGCTCCCCCGGAAGACTGGGCACCAAGAGGGTAGAATCCACCAAGGTTTTAGACCGTTGCGCTGATGTGGGCTCCCACCCTCGGAGAACTGAGATACAGCCTTCCTGCTGTCTCCTGGCTGGCTGAGGAGGAGTTTCCAGCAAATCCAGCTCTCAGGCCCCCTCTGTGAGCGAGGAGTGTAACAGCACCCTGCTCACCAACCTGCTCACGGGCTTCGCTCCATGGTCTGCGAAGGGCCTGAGCTCCAGGTGGGGGAGGTAAGAGCACGCAGGTGGCCTGTGAGGACACAGCTGGGCATCCCCAATAAGCCGGCAGTGGCGTGGCCACCAAGGGAAGGGAAGGCTGGCCATCCTTAGGCCGCCTGTCCTGGAAGCCCTCCCATCTACAGATCAGCTAGCCATAAGGGCTTCGGCCTGGGATGCAGCACGAGTCGCCAGGAGAAAAAGTAGTGAAATGTTTGAATCAGGCACTTGGAAGGGCTGTAAGGAAGGCAGGCTAGCTTCTCAGCCATTTTCAGAAAATGCCCACAGTTCTTTTCCCAAGGCAGGTGAAATGAGAATATAAAAGTAATGAAATGTTTGTGGGGGGACTGTGTCCACACCTCAGCAATCAATAAGGGGCTGCCCTCTGGGGTGGTGCGGGCCCTAAGAAAGGAGAGGCATCCGGTGAGGTACCAGGAAAGGCGAGAGCACTAGGGAGAGAGGAGAAAAGTGGCCTGGGAAAACCTGGAGGGTCTCAAGGGCTCTTAGCTCCCCAGCAGAAACCCAACAACGCAGGCAGGACAAGGTTGTCCATGTGGCTCGGCAGGCTCCAGGCCAAGGAGCACCATCTTTTCTTCGGGGCCCATGAAAATGTTGTAATTTCTTTTAAAATCAGAATACAATGAACTTTTAAGTTGAAAAAAATGTTTTAATATGTAATATTAATGTTTGTCTTTATGCCAACACAGTCTTAAAATATTATTTTTACATATATATAGAATTATTATTTTTTTAATGGAGAAAGGAGTCCACGGAGGCAAAGCTGTCTAGTGCCCAGGAAACTTTAACTGGGTCCTGCAAACACTAACCGCTTCTTCCATGGTGGGTGCTGGTCCTGCTCACTCCTCCGGGCCACAAGGGAGGAAACCTCCCACCCCTCTTCTCTGGAGCTCCCTCACCAATTTTCCGTTCTTCTACCCTTAGCAAACAGAGCTCAAAAGAAAAAAAAGAAGAAGAAGAAGGAACAAAGAATGCATACGCCTTGGCACCAATTTCACTTTCTCAGCCATCTGTGAGTCCCAGGCCTCTCTTTTGTCTTGCTCTCGGCCCTGAGCGTTTCCAGACTCTTGCAAGCCTGACCTGGGAGGGGAAACGGGAATCAACCAGTTGACCGACCCCCTCTCCCCAACACACCCTCCACCCGTGCCACAGGAAGGGTGGTGGGGGTCCGGGCTGTGGGAGAGACTGGGAATCGGACGGGGCCTGCCAAAGAGGCGGGGGGGTGGGGGGGGAGGGCGGTGCGCGGCGCGGGCTGGAAGCAAAAGCTGGCCGAGAGGGCGGAGGGGCCCGGTGCGCATCTCTCCCCCGCGCGGCGCGGGCTGGCACTGCTGCCCCCGGGCGGGTCCGGCGGCCGCGCTGCCCGGCCGTGCTTCTGCGGGGCTCGCTCCCGGGCCTGGCTCGGGGCCGCCGCCGCCCCCCCCCGCCCCCGCCTCCCCGCGCGCAGGCTGTCTCCAGTCGCGGCCACGGGGTAGCGCTCGGCCCCCCTCTCCGCGTCTCCGCCTCCGCCGCGCTCGTCCCCGGCTCACGCGGCCCCCGCAGCTCCGGCTCGGCGCAGGCAGGAGCGGTTCTCTGGACGCCGAGCCCGGGAAGCGGAGGGCGGCGGGCTCGGCGAGCGGCGGCGGCTGCGGAGGCGGACGGCGGCGGCGCGGCCCAGGCGCCGGGGCGGGCGCGGCGGCCGCTGCTCCTCGGGCCCCGGGCGGCCGGCGAGCGCCGGGCGTCCGAGGAGGCGCCGCGCACCCGCAGCCGGGGCTGCCCGCCGGGCTCTCCGTGCGTCTCGCCGAGAGCTCCGGCCAGGGCGCGGCGGAGGGCAGCGCCGCCGGGCTCCATCCTCGGCCGGCAGGAGGCTCCGTGCCCGGGCGCCGGCGACAGCCCGGGGCCGCCGAGCCCAGCAGCCGTCCCCGCCGCTCCGCAGCCGGCGCGGACATGGGCGCGCGAGGCTGCGCGCCGGGCCGCGGGACCCGCAAAGTTTGCTAGCCCGCTGGGCGCGGAGCCGAGGGCGCGCCCGGGCCCGGCGCCGCCGGGAGGGACCGAGCGGCCCCGGATTGGGCGCCAGGGCGGTGGAGCCGAGAGGGGCGGCTCGGCCCCGCCAGATGCCGCCTGCAAAGTTAGAGAGAAGAAAACTTCAGCTCCAGGGAGATTCGGCCCGCTATGCTAACCGCGCCCCCCGAAGCCCGCGCCCCTGAAAGAAGCCCCGCGCCCGAGTCTGCCGCCGCGCTCGCTTCCCGCCCGGCGCCGGGGGCCCGACGCCTGGAACGGCGGTGACTGCGTCCGCCGGGAGAACCCAACCAGGGGGCGGGGAGGGGGCGGGGGGCGGGCAACGTGGCCACGGGAGGAAGTTTCCTGAAGTTGCCGGTTTATTCCAGAGCCCGGCCCGCGACCCGGCGGGATCGCGGAGGCCGCCCCGCCAGGGCGAAGTCGGAGTTGGGGTGCTAGGGGAGGGAGGAGCCCCGAAGCCGAGAGCGGGCTTTTCCTCTTTCTCTTCGCTCGCCCCTCGCCTTCCGGGCGCGCCGCCGGGATCGGACTTGGACAGCTGACGAGAAGGAAGGGTTGGGGTCGCTAGCGTTGCCCCTCCCGGGCATATACCGGCCCGGGCCGGAGCCGCGTGGACAGTCTCCCGGGACGAAGCCGCGGGGTCCCAGGACCACCCCTCCGGATTATAAAACAGTGCGGAGGACACCCCCCCCCCAAGGCTGGTCACCATGTGGGGGCTGCTGATGTGGACTCTGCTGGCCCTGCACCGGATCCGTGCGACCGGAGCCCAAGGTACGGAGGGCCACCCCCACGTGGGGTTGGGGAGGGGGCTGGAGGAGGGGGGGCTCGCTGGCCTCACGGTGGCCTCCTGGACACCGGGCTTAGCCTGGGCAGAGTTCTCTCCAGGGAGTTTCGAGACCCTCTCCTCGAGTTTGGGGGGCTCTTTTTCGGGGGGTGGGGCCGTCTTTCTGAGACTTGTGGCTTCCTGAGGAGGGAAGGCGGGGGTCCGTGTTGGGAGGCGTCGTCCGGGGTGAGGTGAGGGGTAGCGACCCCCACCCGCCGCTCGGTGCCCGCCTGCCCGAGCTCCTCAGGCCGGGCTCCGGGTCCCCGCCCGGGGTCCGCGGGAAGGGCCAGGCCCTGCCGGGCAGGCGCTGGCCGCCCCGGGCCGAGGGCGGGGGGCGGGAGGGCGGCGGGCAGGAGCCCGAGTCGGGCGCAGGGAGCCGGGTTGGTCGCCCCGGGAGGGCAGCTGCCGGGCCTGGCCACGTACGGGAGCCCGCGCCTGGCCGTCTGGCCGCCGCCGGGGCTGGGGGTGCTCGGCGGAGGGGGGCCTCGAGCCCAGGTCGCGCGTACAACCCCGGACCCGGCGCGGGTGGTGCGCAGGGAGGGTCTGAGGCGTCGCCCCTCCCGCCCCCAGACGCACGCAGCATCGTGCCTTTGCGCCCCCTCCCCACCGGCCGCTCCTGTCTCTGACCTGTAGCTGCCTGGAGCAGCCTCGCGGTGGAGAAGGGCTGCTTTGGGGGGTGGGAGCGTTAGGAGGGATGAGGAGGCGTGATCGGCGCTGCCCCCCTCCAGAGGGCGGATGCCTAGACATCCCCCCCCTCCCAGTCCTCGGGCAGGTCCCAGCGGGGAAGGGCGGCTGCACCCGGCGCTTCCTTGCCTTTGGGGTTCGCAGATCCAGACAGTGGTGCGAGCGGTGTCCGAGCGGCGCCTGCTGGGGCGGAGGGAGACGAAGCCTGGACCGAGCTTCAGGACTCGGGGGGCTTGGCCTCCCCCTTCCAGGCTCGGGAGCATGCCTGGACCCACGGGGAGGAGGGGGTGCTCCGGAATGCGGAGGCTGCATCTCGAACCCGCCCCACCCCAGCTCGGGTCTCGGAGCAGCGGGGGTGAAGGGACCCCACTGCGCCCAGCGTCAGGCAGTCCAGAGAGCCAAGATCAAAGGGATGAGAATAATCCAGCTCTCACTCACAGGGTTGAGGGGGGGATTTTACAAGGCAATTTACGTTAAAGCACTTAGAAATTTTGTAAGGGGTCCTGTAAACGTAAGGTAATAAAAGTTATTAGTTTTATGGTCATCATAAAATCTTCCAGCAGGCGTGAACCTTAGAGGTTGGCTTACTCTAGCAACCATTTAACAGATAGGAAAACTGAGGTCCAGAGGCATTAAATGACTTGCCCAAGGCCGTTGGGTGATCTGGCGGCAGAGTCAGGGACCAGGTGAGTTCTGGGCCCTTGTCTCCCTTGGAACCAGGACCATCCGCAGCTGGAGTGGGTTTACTAGGGGCGGGCCCTTCTTCTGAGGGTCCTGAGAGGACCTTGAGGCTGACAGAATAGGCACGGGGTGTAGCCTGCCCTGGGGCACCTCACAGATTTGCTCTGAGGTGCCTGTGGGGCTACTAGCTGAAAGCCAGGAGACAAGGAGGGCTCTGGGGCTATCAGCCCGTGTCTGGAGGCATCTGACTTAATTACTCTTTGGACTCTGGTGTGATTTCCCTGGGGGCAGGTGGCTCACTACTTCTTGCCCATGCAAGCCCAGGCCCAGAAGGAGTCCCCGGGGCATGGGAAGGTCCTTCTTTCTGGGTCATCAAGCCTCTTCCATGTCCCAGCCAACATTGTCCCATCCACCTGAGGCCAAGACCGACCAGTCCAGCTGAAGTTAAGGTCTGGCCACCTCCTGTCTCTGTCCTCTTGCTGGAGGGGCTCACCCTGTCGTCATCGCTGAAGGTCTCTGATTGATTCCCTCCCTCTCTGGTTCTCATGTTTGCTGCCTTTCGGAGTGAGGCTGCCCAGGTCCCCTGCTGCTCAGTTTGTGTTCTCTGGCTCTGAGAGTGTTTTCCAGCGGCCATGGGTACTCTCCGTTTGTCTCCTGGCGGCAAACCATGCAGGGGATGGTGGGAACTTGGTCTCGCCCGGACATGGGGGCAGTGCTGGTTGTATGTAGGGGGCCGGGGGGGGTGGGGCAGGGACAGGCCACAGGGGCTCGGGGGGTCCTTTCCTGTCTGCTTTGGGGTTAGAGGGTGGAGTTTCTCCTTAGCGTCTGAGTTTGAGGCCATGCTCTTCACCCTTGGGGGTAGGTGAAGCCCCTGGCACTGTTTGTCCCTTCTGAGCCCATGAGCCCCGTTCTCCAGTCAGGACACAGAGTGAGGGAACAGGCGGCGTTCCTCCCTGGCACAGACCTCACCTTGGCCACCGCTGGATTTTGTCTAGGCTTTGGCGAGTGTTTTCAGCTCCCGGACCCGGGCAACATCACCTGCTTATACTGAAAGCCACCGTTGGACCATTTCCCCCGAAATTCACACGCATTTCCTAAACTAAGTGCAGTGATGTTGTAGAAAAGGGCGATTCCAGGTATTTGGGGGAGCCCTCAGCAAGTGCCCGGCACTTAGAAAGTGCTTAATAAAGGGTAAATGTTTTTACGATGACGGTGATGATTGTTTTTACACCATAAGCCAGAGGACCGTGAGGAATAGCCCTGGCCACCCACCAAAAAGGCCTTGCATGCCTTTTCCTCATCCAAGACGCTTCCTTTACTTCCTACTTCTTCCGAGGCTACATTGCTCTGTCTGCCATGGCCCTCCCGGGGTGTTGGGCTCCACTCCCAGGTACTCCGCCTGGAAATGTCTGGGTGAGCCTGGATGTCTGCAGTTTAGCCAGCTTCTCGAAAGATTTTTCAGGTGCCACGAAAATTAGTTGCTGGTGGACATCCCAAGGAGGCCCAGGGGCTGGAAGGAGGGCAGTAGCAGCCCAGCCAGCTGGTCCAGAAGGTTCTTTCGAGAGAACGGTGCCTGGGGGGAGGGACAGAAGGGAGTGTGAGTGGAGTAGAACAGGCAGTGTTGAGAAGCCCAGCTTTGGACGCTCCTGAAGCCTCCAAAGGGAGAAAGTTTAGTGCTGGGAGCTAATCACAATAAAAGCCAAACAGCACGCGAGGGAGCGGGATGAAAGTTTAATTACATGGTGTGGCTAAGCTGTAATTATTAATTACTGACAGCAAAAAATAACTTATTGATCAGGGCCTCTTGCTAATTACCACAAGGCCGAGTGTCGTTCTTGCCTGGGGCTTAGCGGGTACGTGTCAAAGCCCCACACAAGAGGGGGCCAGGGGGCATCCCTGCTCCCTTCCTGCCTCGTCGCCCTGCACCCCTCTCTCCCTCACCCTGTGCACCCCTTAGCTTCACCTGCGGAGTCTGGAACATTCTGGCTGTGGCCAGATGGGTGACACAGTTTGCTGTTTCTCCTGCCTATGGGATATGGCCCCTGCATGGGAAGAGAAAACTCAGGACCCCTACCCAGAGGCCCAATCACGCTGGCAGCCTGACACCTGCCTCCGAAACCCTCCCTCTCATGCATTTGTTCGGCAAATAGTTATCGACCGCTCTCTCCCTTGTGTCCTCTACTGGAAGGCCAGAGCAGGGGCCAGGAACCTTGTTCCATCAGGGAAGGGCGGCTGGGAAAGAGGCCAAATCCTTTACAGCAGTTCTCTGTTTAAACAGTGCCTGAACGGCTGACTTTAAAATGATGTGTTAAACTGCATATTGGTATGCATTTGACTTTGTACCATAGGACGCAGTCGGGCTGTAAGTTAAACAGTAAGGGAATGAACTTGTGTTCTGTCCTGAAGACTAGAATGAATCAGTGCCTCGGACTTGAAAGAAACACGAGAAGTCATCTAGTGTTGTCCTCTGCCCATAAACCTGGGACAAGTGGCCATCTGGTGTCTGCTTGTATACCCTTGGTGATGGAGGACTCACTACCTTACAAAACAAGCTGGTGGTTAGTCTCCCGGTGGCTGATGATCCTGAGATTTGGCTGCGGTTCAGGAAGCCCTCTGATTGGCTGGACCACCTCCTCCCCAATCCTTCTGCCTCCCTACCCCTCGGGGAGTCAGGAGCCTGAGCTGGAACTGATGTTGGCTGTTATGGCGCTGCCTGTGGGATTTCCACCCCGGCTCCTGGAGCACAATGCCACAGAGGGCCCCGGAGCTGCCTGAAACGGTGGGAATTCGTCATCATAATTCGGGGCCTTGGGATGCCAATAGCAACAAATGGGCCAGAGCGACTGCCGGCGGCAGCCCCGCTGCCTGTAATGGAAAAGAAAACAAGCCGGTTGCTGAGGCATCTCGGTTGCTCCTCGTGGCCGCCCCCTCTGCTGTCCGCACGCTGGGCAGAAGGCAGGGCCAGTGTCCAGCAAGGGGCCATCCGGGGCTGCTCTAGGTCCTTGCGGGGGGAGAGGGGCGCTGCATAGCTGGTCTCATCAGACTCCCCAGCTGGGTGTCTGGTCCAGAAAGCCCCACTCTGAGCCCTGGGAGCCCTGCGGGGGCCCCTCTCCTGCAGGTATTGGCAGGGACCTGGTTGGAGGGGGTGCTCCTGGCCCCTGCCTCCACCACCGAGTGACCCTGAGCTGAGACTCTTCTCATCTGTGGAATGTGGAGATGGTTAAAAATCACTATATCTACCTAGTAGGGTGGTTTTTTGTGGGGTTTTTTTGGATGTTAAATGAGATGATCCTAAATCACTTTAAACTCCTCTCAATAACTGTTAAGTGCTTATAATGCATTGGCCACAAGGCTGGGAGGATGTCCTAACCCACACCTCCTGGCTCTCCCCTCCTCCAACAACTCCACCCACTCTGTCCACTGCTCTGACCACCTCCTTGTTCCCAGAACTGCGCAGTCGCTCTCTGGCCTCCCACCTGGCACCTACCATCCCTGTGGCCACGCCCAGTCCTCCCAGATGTCTGCAAGGCCCACTTCTTGTTTCCTTCAGGATTTTCTCCTAATGTCCCTAATCCATCCCTAA